CCACAGGTTTGACCAGACAGAAATCTACTCCTCGTTCAAGAGTAAAACTGCCATTGGAGCTAACCGAATCATCAATTTCCATTTCACATAGAGGGAAAAAATAAAATAAAAAATAAAGCAAAAACTAAATAAACAGACCCAAATGAAATGCTGACTGTACAAAAAATATATATATAAAAAAAAAAACAACAGCAGCAGCATTTACAATGTGGGGCGACATCCTTTCCTAACTACATACTCTAAACTGCAATGACACTGACACTGTAGAGTCAGCCATTTTGTGACATGAACCAGTGCGCATAAGACAGCAGCCTATCAAATCTCTAGGAACTAAAACCTTGCGCCCTACGTCACTAGTTCCTTGCGACTTTTACAGGACACGATTAAAAAATTTCGGCCGACAAAACAGCTGCTACACAATGAACGTATATATTGTATATCGACTACAAAACTGCCAGAATGCTCTGAAATACAGCACACTCCAAGGCAGGGGTAGCCGAACTCCGGCCCTCCAGCTGCAATGGAACTACAAATCCCATGAGGCACTGCAAGATTCCCACAGCCACGACTCCCGGAAGAGAGATGCATCGTGGGATTTGTAATTTCACCACAGCTGGAGGATCAGAGTTTGGCTACCCCTGCTCTAAGGCAATAGTGCCCTATATCTTCCTCTAAACACAAAACCCAGCCAAGCAAAGCAACTTGCCTACATGCAGGTGACACCAATCAACTCCAATTGACCCCCCGAAAAAGACCAGTCTGCGAAAAAGACAAAAAAAACTTACATGACATCAGCAAGTCGCAGTGGGTTACACAGCAGCTGAGACAAGACATCGCACGGTCACACATATACACGGGTAAAAACAGAAGCCAAAAAGGTTTAGGTAACTTGTTCTCACTTATTCAATACTGGACTGTATTATTTTTTTTCTCGTTTTTTTTTTTTTAACAAATGAAACACCATTTAAAACAAATCCCAGTTTCAAAAAGCAGGTGTGAACTTCAGGATGCATAAACCTTATGAACGACACAAATCCTAAATAAAACTCAATTCATCAAAAAGATTTTAAAAAAGCAAAAAGTTTGTCTGGAGTCATCCCTACTCTTGACTGGCAAAAGGTAACCGGGCAACTCCAGGTCTTTCTATGCCATAGTGCTTGAACACCAAGTCATGGGCAGTGTGGGAAATCAATAAGATGTAGCACAAGGAGCACCTTAGCTCACACAAAAGTTTTGAATAGTCACAAAGCTGGTTCTTAATGACCTTTTGAGTCCATGCTTGTACAAATGCACCACAAATGCATGCTGAACGAGGTGTGCCTGCCAAGGTGTGCTCTAAAACCCTACAGGGACGTGAAGAGGTCGTCTTCTGCAACGCAGAAATTCAGCAATGCATAGATCTGGAACATTTTTTTTGGTGAACAGGATGCCGACGTGTATACAAAGGCTGATCTCCAAGATGTATCTGAAGGACTTCGGAGTACCTGTACGAAATTGCGGTGATGCAGGCGGGGGTTTTAGTGAGGACTTAACACTTTGGAGTACCGAACAGCACAAAAATACTAAACTGGCTTGCGGCACACGTACAAATAAGCTCACGTTACATTGGACATACAGGCAGCGATCCGTTTTTGCTCAAATGAAGAATGATGAGGGGAAACCAACACGTTTTAGACTAGAAATGGGCAACTTTTGGCTGTTGAGGACCCAAAGTACCAGCATGCCCTCTCTGGTAAAGGTTGAGCTACAAAATTCTCAGTACGCCCTGCCAGCCAGCAGCTGTTGATGAACCAAGTTTGAGAAATCAGTGTCTCGGCGTGCACTGCCAGCCAGCAGGTATTGAGGAGTCAAAGTTGAGCGCCCCATCAGTATCTAACAGTTAGCACCTGTTAAGGGAACAGAGGATGAATAATGTCTACAAAACCCTAACATTCAGCACCTGTTGAGGAACCAAAGTTAAAAGCCTGGGACTATGGCTCCTCAACAATCAAAGGGTCACAATGCTGCCCAGTTTCAATTTCAACTAAAACCCGACATGTTTTGTCATATAGTTACGTTTGCTCCTTTCCTAAAAAAAAAACAATTAGACCCAATGGAAAATCTTAACATAGTGTTAAAAAGGCACAAAAAAGCTTTGAGTCAGATTTTAGGGGTAAGCTGCCACCAACAAGTTCCGACACATCTTCTGTAAAGGAATATATGAGACATGACTTAAAAAAAAAAAAAATGGTTGAAGAG